GAAGTAATATATTCATATTTGTATTTTTAATAAGTAATAATGTTGTATAATATTCCTACGTGTTAAAATATTGTAGAATTTTTTTATTAACTACGTAACGAGTAAAAACATCTTTTAAACAGATCTTTATGCATTGCACTAAATTTGTATTGACAAAAAATTAATTAACACGAAATATAGAACATATCATCTGATACAAACATTTTGTATTTTATAATATATTTATATATTCCTTTTTTTTTTTTTAAGATTCAAGACTTTTTTTATTGGCTCATTTTTAAAATATATTTATAAAATAACTTTTACTTAATAAAATATAATTGTTTGCTAGAAAAATAGGCAATCGTGTAAAAACTGTCATAGTTATGTAAAACTTTACTTTTAAATTGCAACAAAAAGAGGTAAAGCGATTAAACGGAAAAAGATGATCGATGAAAGAAGCATCATTTTTTCCTGCAATACAAAATACAAAAATTCTTGAATTTTTATTCCACTTTAATCACAAAACATAATCACCATTTATTAATTTTTTCAATGGTAAAAAATTGAATACGTGGAAAATTCGCGAAGAATTATTTCTAAGTAAGAAAGCGAAGAAGTTGAAGAATCTTTGAACAGCATTTTTTGCATTGTGTCGAATAAAAACAAAGAAATTTGTAGAAATTCGTTATCTTTAAATTTCTCGCAAATTCTCGCAAACGAAGTTCATAAACAACGCGCCATAAAAATAAACCAAGAGGCGAAACGTAGAAGTCGTGAAAAAAGTACGGTAAGTATATTTTTATAATCAACAAGATTCTTTTAAAAATCTATCTTATCTCGTCGAACAATATCCATATATCTTCTAATATAATTATAATATATAAATATAAATATATACAATATATATAATATAAATATAATATAAATATAAATATAAATATAATTCAACAATCAAAAGATGGAACGATATCGACCATACTCCGATGTGCAGATAATGAAAATATAATTATAATCGTATATATAATATATATAATATAATATAATATATATAATATAATATAATATATATAATATAATATAATATATATAATATAAATATAATATAAATATAAATATATATATATATATAAATATAAATATAAATATAAATATAATTCAACAATCAAAAGATGGAACGATATCGACCATACTCCGATGTGCAGATAATGAAAATATAATTATAATCGTATATATAATATATATAATATAATATAATATATATAATATAATATAATATATATAATATAAATATAATATAAATATAAATATATATATATATAAATATAAATATAAATATAAATATAATTCAACAATCAAAAGATGGAACGATATCGACCATACTCCGATGTGCAGATAGATAATAAAAATATAATTATAATCGCTCGTCTAACAATTACACGTTGGATTCCACGATGCGTGTCGCCACGTGAGCTCAACTCTGACGACGATCAAGCTTTGTTCTCTCGTTAGAAAGAATTTTACGATTCGATGAATGATACCTTTAAAAAAATTCTTTCAAACAAAAATTCCTCCAAACAATTCCTCCTTCGTTATTTTTACGAACAATGGCGACAATTTATTCGACGCTTGAAATACACGCATCTCGTTCGTGACGAAAATTTTCGTTTCTTTGTAATTTATTTAAGGAGAATAGGAGAGAAAAGAAAAAAGAAAAGAAAAACGGAATATCTCAGAATACATAAGAGGATAAAAAGAAACAGACAGGAGAGGCAAAGGAAGGAGAAAAGAAGGGAGAGATGGGTACAGGGACGGAGCAGTAACCTCGCGTAATCGAGTTGACCCCGTAGGACGATTAGCCAAATTGGAAGGTCACTGTGAATTATCACTTATCCTTGAGCTTGTGACGGCTCGTTGAACATGTGTGAGAGAATTTTTCTACGATTTCTTTTATTCGATTCATTTTAAAAAATTTCAAAATTTTAAAACAGAATTTTCTATAAGTTCCAAGCTTCAATAAATATAACACAAGTTTGAAATACTGCGTGCACAAGCAGAATTCGATTCGAAACGATATTGATCAGATAAATAGAAAATTAGAATTAACGTTACAGGGAACAGGTTTATAGGATTTAGATAAACGTAAAGTTGTAAATGTCATTATAATAATATGTGTATTACAAGGAACGATAAGGATACCAACTACTGCGCACTGAATAGTGAGTGTGAATAATCTATATAACCGGTGTCACGATAATTTAATTCATAAATTTGACAAAACCTTGATTCTTGGTTAAGGTCAGTTCTGAAAACCGATATCAACAACGTTATATACGATCTATGATATTTCAGAAATAAAATTCCTTAATGTTGTTACGATACGTTGTTAACAAGAATAATATTCGAAAAAAAAAAAAAAAAAAATATTCGAAAGAAAGGGAATGAATCAAAAGAAAGTTAATTATTCTTCAATCAGGAATTAAGAATAAAAAATAATTATTGCAACAATTTTAGATCTATTTCCCGGTAATATATATTTATCCCTCTGATATTACCTGTCTCTGACAATAAATTGCAATTATGGAAAAAATCATTATGAGATGAAATATGGAGACAAACTCGTTTCAAACTCGATCATGAGTTATTTTCTTTAATCGATATTTAAATTTGATTTGACGAAGAAAAATAATAAGATTCTTTTATATATATATATATATATATATATTTTTTTTTGTTCAACTCTGTTAGAATTATATAAACGAACAACCTTCCAACGACTAACACGAGTAATCTGATAGGATAATTTAGATAATTAGAATCATGACAAGAAGTTGTTATATTAATATTCAGATATTTTAAATTCTGGAAATTTTTTTTAAAACGATTCGGATCGATAATTATGGAAATTAAACTAAAATATATTACGAAGAGAATCTAATGGTTCTCGTATATTTTAAAGTATTCTCAAAAGTAAGCACTTGTACCTTGTTGACACAACAATCGAGTAGAAATACAATGAAAAAAAATTCTTGTTTGAATTGTAATGCCGACTTGATTAAAAGTGTAAAAAGTAGTTAAATATGTGAGTCAGAAATATTTACGTATAATTTAATTCGTATGCAAAGAGTGCAAACAATGTAAATCACGTTCAAACATCTTCCGCTTCTTATCACTATGCAATCTTTTTTTGTATGAATAAAATCAATTAAATACTTAGTTGGCTTACAGCAATATCTTATTATTCTAGTTTAAAATTGCGCTCATTCTAAAGACTGAAGAATATAATAATAAGTAAGTGTATTAAAGAATTATATAATAAAACAGGATTTAAAATATATAAATTGGATAACGTCACGGAATATATTATACAGAATTATATAATAAGAAAAGATTTAAATTATATAGAAATTGGTGAAATTTACAGAATATTTACAGAATATGATATTCTGAGAAATAAAATATTTAAGTCGGGTACATAAAATGAGATAAAAATGAATTTATAATTTCATAAATTTCTACTTTGCGTATAATATGCTTTGTATATTTATATTCATGTAGAAATTCGAGGAAGCGATGATTTTACAAATGATATTGATAGAAATCAATCGAATCGAGTGTATTGAAATTTTAAATTAGGAGAGAATTTTAAATTTTTTGCAAGCTGATGTAAAACAACAGCGACACAAAAATAGGTATATCGTTTTTAAATAATAATATCAATTTTTACAAATTTTGTTTACTCTTAATTAAACGAAATAAAATATATCGTCGAGATTATCAGAAACTTTTCATTTCGAAATTTTCTTACGTATAAGAGGCTCGGTGAAAGTAGTGCACCACTCAGTGAAAGTCAAATCTACCATTTTTGACTCTTTGAATTATACGAAACGGAAGTTTAATATAATTTAAAAAAAAAAAAAAATGGCATCGAAATGACGAACAGAATATTGATGATAGTTGAAAAATCTTTTTGATTTCCTTATTTATCGTGCAAATGAATAACATGATTTGCACTTTTTACGTGTACATTATTTCAAATTGAAGAAGATGCATTATTACGCCATATTTAGATATTAATGCATTAGAAATTGCTATACTGACTATACTGACCGCGAGAACTTATAAAGTGACTAAATCAGATGTTAGTATATAGTTAAGATCATATTTGTAATAATCACATCTAAGATATTACATAATACAGAATATTAAAGAAATAAATAACGCGTTAGCTACGCGACCATTAACTTATACTAGATGATTTTAAAAATAGGTGATCAAACTTTGTCTCGTATTCTATTCCTTCTAATTTTAGAATAATTTGTTTCTAATTTTGAAATTGTGAACTATAAATATCGTTATCGATATATAAATATCGATAACATTAACTGCTGTCGATAAGTTTTCGTATATTTTCTTATCTATGCTATATTTATTTACTATTATTCTGCAAATATTTTGTGTTTTAAATTGTATTTTAAAGTAATTAATTATATTAAAAATTCAGTTTGTGTGCTCAATGTTATGAAACAAATAGTCAATGAAAATTATTATCATTCTAATGATAAACAATCTTTTTCACAAGTTGAATATTTTCCCGCGTTTAAAGTTACACGCGTATTAAAATTAATCTGGCACGAGACGATATGCAAGAACTGGTTTACATCCGGTGGTACTCCATTTGCTTATCCTTAAACGATAAAGTTATATGATACTCATATATGCAGTCTATTCTAAAACGGATTATCTTTGACTTTCACTCCCGTATCATGGATAAGAGCAACTATCTTTTTTACGGTTAGTTTCCTTACGAATTACGTTCGAAAAGATGCTACTATTATAAATTAATATATTTATGAAAATTAATATTTCTCGTAGAATCCACGTTTCCACTTTAAAATAATGAAAATCAATAAACACAAAGAGAAGAAATAGAAAGAGAAAAAAAAGAAAAACGAAAGTAAAGCAAAACAACGAAAGAAAAGGCAAAAGACAGGAATCGCGGGCAAAGCAAAAGCACGTACCTGAACAAGTCGCTTCACGTCGCTGCGATCGCGATTGTCGGACCCCACGGCTATGTTAGGTCCCCACATTCCACCTGTCAGAAGGTGGGTCTGCTCTCTCACGGACCGTAAAGGAAGCAAAGAAACCACTAACGGTGGAAAATAAATCGCGATTCGATAGTTTTCTTTTCTAACTATCGCGAAATCACTTTCGAAAACTAATCGTTTTCAATATGGCTGTATGCACAGATCCCATTCCGCTATTCACTATATTACTTACATAGTTCTTTAATGTCCATTTTCCTTTAACGATTCGCGCCGCATTCCTGATTGGATCATTGAAAATTCCAGAAAGAAATCTCGTTGAAACTAATTTCAACAATGTTGATTACCGAAAAATATTTTCACGTTTTTCACGGATGTATTCATCAAATGTATTTGATCCTGCGTACTAAGAAGCACGCGTGGGTCTGGAATGTAAATGTAGTGAACGAAGTTATCGAAAAATCGAAGAAAACAAGCGGAAACTACTTTTCACGATCACTACACGCACGATCGATAATGTAATACTATCCATATAATCTTTATGGAACGACTGATCCTACGGGATATCTCTCAAAACAAAAGTCCAAACAAATTGTTGCCCGAGCAACGTTCTCCACAACATAACTGGACACCGGTAGGTAGGGGAACTGATTCGAAGAGGAACGACTGCTAGAATCGAGTCTCGAAGGCGAGAGGAAGGATGCTAGTATAGGAGAGGGAGGCAGGGCAAAATCAGGAGGGGGAAAACTTCTGTCCTGATCAGGCAGGATGACCGGTAGGCGTTAGGGCTCAACACAATCCGCGCCTGTATATCCTACAAGCGTCTCTATATGTACGTGAATATAATTGAAATATCCTTGTTTTCTTTCAACTCTTTTTTTCATTTGTACCGTCTTACTTGTGACTCCATTTTTGTTTTCTAAACTAATATTTCTTCATTATCGCGAATTAATTTAATTAAAAAACATTTATTTTTTTGAAACATAAAGAAATTGAATTGATTTTTCTATTATATATTAATTGATTATTTTTATTTTTTTTTTCTAATTTATAATTTATGTTTAATTTTATTTATGTTTAATTTCTTTCGATATCTTTTAACGATACGAATCACTTTAATTAATTAAAAAAAAACAAAAATATATTTGTAATAAATATGCTAATATGTAATAAATATTTATTATGTTGTTTAATTACATATGTACATCTATATTTATAATCATTGTATAATTTGTCTTAAAATTTCCGATTATAAAAATCACAGTTTTAAATATTTTAATCTTGTGTTATATGTCATTTGTTGAAAATTATGAATCGAATCGTTATTTTGTATAACGAAGTATAACTAATAAATAATATATAAGAAATCAAAGTAATGAGGATACAAATAAGTAATACATATGAGTAACGGTATGATGACACAGACTCATAAACGATCCAATACTTTTCCGCGCTATTCTATTTAACATTTTATATAAAATATTAACTTAGTTTCTCTAATATCATAAAATTACCATTTTTATTTATTTCTTAGTTATTTTTAATACTTTATAAAATTTGTATGATTTGGAAAAATTAGAAAAATTCATAATTACATTATATATTTGAAACAAAATGTAATGATTTAAGAAATTTTTTTTTTATTTATATAATTATTATTTTTTTTATCTAAATATATGTATTATGAGATACATACATATGTATTATTTATTATATATATATGTAATATGAGATAATTAAAATATATATTTTACATGTATATATACATTTAAACATTTATTTTATTGAAACAAAAAATAAACTTTCGAACATTACGATTGACAAAAAAAAGCATCAAATAATTCGCGATCTATGAGAGAAAAAGAAATATTTAAATTATCATTGCTGAGTACACTGCAAAATTACATAATAATTCCTTTTACGATTGAGGCCAATCGCATTGCGTAAAAGAATCTCAGTATGGTGTTTACTGCTTTCAAATTATTCCTAAGCGCGCGATTTATGCAAATATATATAAATATATAAATTGAAATTAAAAGAAAAATTTAAAATAAATTATTTCAATAATAACATTTAATATTTATATCATAAAATATCAAGTTCTTCTTCATTTCTTTAAGAAAAAATGATTAAATTATACAATTAATTTTCATATTTTATGAAAAAGAATTCCATTATACTATAAAAATAGTATAGTATATACATATAACAATCAAAAATATCTCTAATATTAAATTTAATTTTTGAATTTATAAAATATTAATATGTATTTTTGCTTTATATTATAATTAAAATATAAATTAAATATTTTTATAATTAATTGCATATATTTATATTTATTTTTAAATTGTAAATTTTTTTATCATATTATTTATTATATTTTTTTCTAAAATGAAATTTCTATTTTCTTTTTAGTAATTTATTATTAATAGTAATATTATATTAAAATGAGTGTGATATATGATATTTATTTAATTTCTTTGTATAATTATTTGTGAATAATATTTCATATTTAAATCATAAATCATATTCAAATTATTTCAAAATTTAAGAAAACTAACCTCATCTATGAAATCATAAAAAGCACGTGGACTATTAGAAGTAGAAATAAGATAGCAACAATTATGGATTTAATTAATTTTTTTGATCATAATTCAAAAGAGTATAATGAATTTTTACAATATTTAATAAATTTTAGTGGAGATATACCATTTAATATAGAAGAGGTAAAATTAATTATTTGAAAATAACCTCTTACATATATAAAAGAAATATGCATATAAGATAAATATTTTAATATAAACATATATATTTTTTTTTAATATCGAATATATATATATATTTTTTTTATTCCTAGATTGATAAAATACAAAATATTATCATATCCACTATAAATACTTATTTAAATCAATCACAATCTCGATATAATGGTTTATTAATTTTGGACAAAATTTTATCACAATGTTCAAAAGATATTTTTTCAAAATATTGCATATTATGGATATCAAAAAGTATGCAAGTATTAGAAAGCATTCATAGTACTTTACAAGAATTATCTATTTCTTGTAAAGTTCTTGGCTCTTTAATAATCCAATCAAAAAATATTCCTGAAATACAAAAACAAGTATCCACACAAATTGTGAAACAATTTATTAATACAATTAATAACTTGAATTCAGAGAAAAAGTGTGGTCCAATATATTATTTAATTGCTGTATTATTACATCAATACCCTGAAGTTTGTGAACGTTTTCAGGTAATCAATTTTCTTTATTATAATATATTGTATTGTATATATTTTGTAAATGTGTTTGTTCATATATATTTTTATATTTTGTATTTAGATATCTATAAAAAAGATTATATTATTACAAATTGATTCTTCCCAAAAAAATTTAGTTAATGCAAGTGCAAGATGTTATGCTCTCTTAGCAAAAGCAACAGAACGTTCATTTAAATCTTCAGTTTCAAAATCAAATTACACTTGTTGGACATATAACCAAGCACTTATTTGTAATAGTTTACATGTAATAATGGATAAATTATTCTCTAATTTAATAGAATTAGAAAATGTAAATATCTCGGATAAATTAGATTTGCCCAATATATCTGAGGAAAATATTATTCAATTTTATTTTAAACAAAAACAAAGATTTTTAAATTTGTGTTCTTACTTATCATATATGTTGTGGTAAGAAAATAATTTACAAATTATTTGAATATAATATTATAAAAAACAAAAGTGTTTAAATAATTTATATTTTTACAGTGGATTGGGCACAAAAAATTCAGTATTACCACATGAGATTTTAAAAGTTTTATGTAGAGGTTTAGCAATACAACCATCAAATATAAAAAATCAAAATTCTGTTAAAGAACAAATTTTATATTTAATTTTACCAGAATTACATATTGCATTATTCAATGTTTTAGATTCATTAATAAATGGGTAAGAATATGATAATTTTTATATATTATACTATTTAAATTAAAGTGAAATTTATAAGATTAAAATATTTAGATTTAAGGAACAATTAATACCATTTGGTTTAACAATATTACAATTATTTCTTCAAACATTGCAATGGACTGAAAATGTTTTAGTAAATCAAATAACAATTAGTGGAAACAAACCATTTAGAAATGTAAGGATATCTGTTTATAAATGTCTTAATTCTTGGTTAATGAATACTAATTCATTATCAGGTATAGAAACTATTGCAGATGAATATCTTCTTTCTATATTAAAAGATATAGTACCAGAAAAAGATCGTATTTTATTAACTGTAAGTTTAGACATTTAAAAAAAATTTATTTTGTTTTTTTTTTATAATACAATTGCTTATTATATTATAATGTTATTGTTATAGATTCAAAAGACACAAAATTTGTCAAAAAGAGCTTTAAAACGTTTGCGAGATAGTCAATATGAGAAAGGAATATATTTAAATAATGGAATTGCTTCTGATAAAGAACATTATCTACATATAGATACATGTAAAATCGCTCTTGATATATTGCAAAATATATTTTTCAGTAGCGGAACTTTTTTAAAACAAACATTCTTTAAAGTAAGAATTTTTATTTTAAATTTTATTATAAAGTTTAACATTGAATATAATCATTTCTATCTTTTTTTCAGACAGTACAAAGTATTGTAATATCTTTATTATATGACTGTTATTTGAGCAATACTGAACAAAAATTTTACAAAGAATATCCTGATTGTCGTCTCTTATTGCTTAGAGTTTTAAGAGCTTCACAAATGAATCCACATTCTTTAATGCCTTTACCTACGCAATATTCTTTAGAAATATTTGAAATGGCATTAAATGATAATAATTTATATATCATTCAAGAAGCTAAAATAGCATTGGCAGAACTTGAGAAAATCATACATCCTTATGCTCCACCTATCCAGCTAACTCAAGTAGAGTAAGTATATATAAAAATCTGTATATTTATATAAAAACATTTTTTATAAAAACAATTGTTGCATGCAAAATTTTATCGATATCGCTATAATACTACTTTTTTTTAGAATAATACAAAAGGAATTTGTTTCTGATGATCAAATTGTGCAAGAACATAATGTAATAATAGAAGATGGAACTTCTTCTAACATTGAAACTGTACTAAATAAAAGTATAGAACCGTCATCAAATAAAAGATTAAAAATCACAAATTCTAATAAAAGTGAAACAATAAGCAACATTCAAAATAAAATAGATGTTGTACAAACAAATCAAGATCCTTTAGAAGAACGAGATGATACAGTGGAAAAACAAATGACAATCACAATACAAAACGAAAATATTATAGAAAATGAACAAGTTGTACAAATTTGCAAAAAATCAGCAAATGAAACTTCAGTGTCAAATGTAATTAATATAGGAACTTCAGATTCAATATCCTCATTGAACATTATGAAACAAACTGACAATAGAAACCATGAAAGTATGGATACAACAGAAAACATTAATCCTAGTCCAGAAAATAGTACATCTGAAGTAAATCAAATAAATTCAGAATTAGAAAAAGGAGAAGAAGAAATATTACAATTGTTTCAGGATATACCAAAAAATTAATATTTTAAAACAAAAATATATGTATTATTATTATATATATTTCATCGCATTCTTAATATCAAATATAGATATAATATTATTCCATTTTGTAATAAAATTTTTTTTCTGAATCATTTATGTACTTTCTTGCTAAAATGTTATTGAAGTATATTTTTTAATTTTAATTAAATTATTGATATTCATATTTTTTGTCTCGTTTTTTACATAATTTTGAACAGTATTCTTTACTTTTTGAGTATTGTCCACAATATTCACAGTATTTTTTAAAAAATTACATGAAGTAGATTGTAATCGTTTCGCAAGACCCGTCCACATACCTATTTCACAGTATCTAAAATAATTGGTTAGGAATATAAAATATTTGTTTAAATTTGTTATAATTTACTTAATCTCTATTTTAATTACCTGAATTGTTCCATTATGCGAGGTGTTGAAGTAATACTAATGAATGGATTGATTTCATCGGAAAACTTTGGAAATATGTTTGGAAATAAAGTATCATTTTGAGATAAAAACGTTATATTAGGTTTTCCACTTTTAGCAAATTCAGCAATTAAATTTGTGAAAATATTTTCTACGCGTTCATTTTCTTCATTTAATTCTTCGATACAATGCGATGGTTCACCGGAAATAGTATTTTCCTTGAAAATGTATCCAAGATCATCGCCGTGACTTATTATAGCTATGAATATAATAAAAAAATATAAAATATAAAAAAAAAAATATCCATAAAATGCATTATAATATATTTAATATATATAAAAATACAATGATTTATTTGTATACCATTTGAAGCATGTTTTGCTTTTACTATAGGTAATCCTGATAAAAAAGTTTTACCACAGTTTCGTGTTTCTTTATGATCAAAACTATACAAAAACGATTCGGATTTTTTAGCCCAATGATTTGCCGTAAGAAAAGCTGGAACATTATATAGAGAATCTCCCATAGCCTCCGCTATTTTCGCAATATGAGCAGAATTATTTCTAGTATTAAAAATATTAAAATATTTATTAAAAGATTCAGGTGTAAAACGGGATATATTTCCAAAATTTGAAACAGTGTTTTGTAAGGTTGGTATAAGATGCTCGTTCACAAAGTTTGGAACAGTACGTAATTTATTTTCAATTTCAGTTTTGTAATCTCCAAAAATTGCTCCTCCTACTTCATTATTCATAACACCAATCAATAATGGTACGGATGGAAAATCTCCGATTTTTAAAGTATTTTCCGGTGTGTTCGTGATAAAATTAGGAAGAAATCTTTAAAAAAATAATATTTCAATCATAATAAACCGAACTCAGAATTACAAAATTTGAAAAATATGAAATACCTTCCATCATCATTTCCTTCGATTACAGGACCAGGGCCTAGTAAAGTTGACAAACTAGATATGAAACCTTGAATTGCAGAGCGTACAGTTTCTAAGTTAGAATCAACTTGTATCAATTTATCAACTGGTATTTGTTGAAGGCAACGAATCATTTCAACTGTATTGTTCGTAGGACATCCGTTATTCGAAGCGATATATTGTGCGGTGGACGCAGGATTTTTGTCAAATGCAAAATGAGATAAAATTGAACCTGACATAGCGATCAATCCGCTAAAAGTATCTAAAAAAATTAATACAAATTTTTTTAAAGTATGGAACATTTAGATATCAGAATTTTGCACATGATATGATATACTTTTTGATAATTTGGATAATGCAAGCATAAAAGCAGCACTAGCTCCTGTACCATGACCAAATGCTATAATTTTTTTCGGATTTCCACCAAAATATTCAATATGATTTTTCACCCATTTAACCGCCAACATCATATCGAATATACCATTATTACCTGGTAATTCCTTTGTGCCGAGACTTAAAAATCCTGAATGAATAATACAATGAATATTTTTTTATATAAATATCATAAATATAATATTATATTTATAAATATATATATATATATAAATTCACATAAATTTTTAATTACCAAGTGAACCCAATCTATATTGAATAGATACAACTACTAATTTTTTTTTAATTAGGTTTCTCATATCATACTGACAAGCAGAACCTCTTCTAAAACCACCCCCATGAATCCAAATTAATACCGGATAGCCATCACCGGAATCTGGGAGCATAGGTGTAAATACGTTCAAAAAAAGACAATCTTCGCTTCCCTCGATTTTTTGGCCGTTAATATTATTAGGTTGTGGACAAGGAGATCCCCATTGTGTAGCATTAATATCACCTTTCAAATATAAAGGTCTAGGTCTCTAAAAATTAATATTTTTTTTATTTATTTCATTCATTAAAAACTAGCAATAAAATTAGAAAAATTGTTTTTAAAAATCAGTATTAATTTAAATAGATTGTGTTATTGTTACACATGCAAAATAAGATACATGTATTTATTAAATTGTAATCGTTATGACAGGATGTATGAATTGATAAATAATAGAGTTGATAAATTGATTCATTTCTACATTTTGAATGATGATAAAATATATCATTATAACATTGTTTTTTAAATTCAGATTGATTTATTAAGATAATTTTAAAAAATTTATTCGATATAAACTCCTTGTTATAAAGTTTTCATTTTTAATATGTTTAAATTATTTTTAAACATGTTAAAAATATTTTTTTTTTATTTAAATCATATAAAATAATATTTTTTTTATTTATAAAAAGAATGAGTAGAATAATTAGAATTAATTATTATACATAATTCATTTTTAATAAAATCATTTGTAAATAAAAATTTGGCTTACTTGAAATCGATAACGACCTACTGGAGGAAGTCCAAATCGAATACCACGAAATACATAAAATCCTTTATTTGGATCTCGGATACCATAAATACGTGCTTGTCTTTCATTTCGCGTCACATAAACAACTGGATCATCTACAGGAGGTGGTGCAGCTGTTCTACCACCAACAATTCTTTTTTGTCTTTTTAAATTATATGACGTAACTGTCGTTAATACATAAAATAAAAAAATTACAATTATCACACGTCTATACATGTTGAATGTTTGTATTATACTGATAATTATATTCATTTCCTTGACTGATCTTATAATTGATAACTCTTACAAGAGATGATATTTTATTTTATATAATAGAGGTATATATATTTATATAAGTATATATATTTATATTACAAAAGTATTTATTATTACAAAATTAAAAATTAAAAATTTTTATGTTTAATAATTTAATTTGTAAATCAAATATCTTTTTTTATAAAATATATATCATTTCAAATCAAATCAAAATTTTAGCGGGCAAACAATGCAACCAATATAAACTTTGTATAGGTCGTTCAATTTCCGGTTGAATCTTTCTCTATTTGATGTTGACTTACTTGGTATGTAACCTGTGATTACCTTAGATACAAAATCGTTTTAAATTCGTAAAAATAAAATGCATCTATAACAGAATAATTATTTTTTAAGCGTATTTATTAATTTTTTAAATATTCCTATAAATATTTTAGTTTTTAAAAAAAAATTTAAATTTTGTTTGTATCTTTAAAGGTTATGTTAGTATAAGAAATAACAGATAGTATCACGTTTTGTATTTGTATATTGTAAAAATAAAATAATTTAGTATTTCATGTAATTTTGTAAATAGATTTTGAATCATGGGTCGAGTAATTCGTGCTCAACGTAAAGGAGCTGGATCTGTCTTCAGATCTCATACAAAAAGAAGAAAGGGAGCACCTAAACTTCGCTCTTTGGATTTTTCTGAAAGACATGGATACATCAAAGGTGTTGTCAAGGTTTGTTTAGTTTTATAATTTTTAATTAATATTTTGTTTTATTTCATTTCAATTTAATTTTATTTCTAATTATTATTATTATATTTATGATGAATCTTAATATACCTATTTCTGAGTGAAAATGTGAAGAAATATTAATAGAGGCTCTTTCTGAAACAATTATATACTTTATAAAACCATATAATACCACACTTGTAATTTTTGTTTGTTTAAACAAATTATATCTTTATCTTATAGGATATTATTCATGATCCTGGCCGTGGTGCACCATTAGCCGTTGTTCATTTCAGAGATCCATACAAGTTTAAAACTCGTAAAGAATTATTTATTGCTCCAGAAGGAATGTACACTGGACAATTCCTTTATTGTGGAAAAAAAGGTAAATAAATTTTATTTAAAATAATAAATTAAAATATATTAAATTGTTTTCATAAAAAAGATATAATTATAAATGATATAGATATAAAATCTAAATTATATAGATCAATAAAAAGAATATTTTATGTTATAGCTAATCTTCAAATTGGAAATGTGATGCCTGTTGGTCAAATGCCTGAAGGTACTATTGTTTGTAATTTGGAAGAAAAAACTGGTGATAGAGGTCGATTGGCAAGAGCATCAGGAAATTATGCTACAGTTATAGCTCACAATCCAGATACAAAAAAAACCAGAGTAAAACTGCCTTCTGGTGCTAAAAAAGTTATACCTTCTAACAATAGAGCAATGGTGGGTATTGTTGCTGGTGGTGGACGTATTGATAAACCAATTCTTAAAGCTGGTCGTGCATATCACAAATACAAGGCTAAGAGGAATTGTTGGCCGAAGGTATATAAGTATTTAATAATATAAACAAAATTTATATTTTATTATAATATAAATATTTATCAATGATGTTTATAGACATTTGAAACCTGAATAATATTTTGTTGAAAATTTTTAACTGAGGATAAAATTTAATATATATATATATATATATAATCATTATTGGAAATTTGAAATGATATAATTTCCTATTCACAGGTTCGTGGTGTTGCTATGAATCCTGTTGAGCATCCACACGGTGGTGGTAATCATCAACATATTGGTAAAGCATCTACAGTTAAACGTGGAACTAGCGCTGGTCGTAAGATTGGTCTTATTGCTGCACGTCGTACAGGAAGAATCCGAGGTGGAAAAACCGATACTAAGAAAGACGATTAGACAAAATATTGATTAAATTCTGAATCTTGTACAATAAAACATTTAAAAAAAATTTATTTGTAAATATTATTTATTTTAATATTATTTATCTTAATATTATTTATCTTATTATTCATTTTACATCATTAAAAGATTAATTTTCTAAAATTATGAAATAGTAATTTTATGATTTTATGTTTTTAGTGTTTTTAATAGTAAGATCTGAATTTAGCTTAAGTATTTGATCTGAAATTCGTATATAAGTAATGTGTCAATATGTCGAGCACGGATACCAACAGACAGTAAATTGAAAAAGTAATGCAACGTGTTCATAGATTTCATTACAATATCATGTGTAAGCCATAAATGTGTTTCAAACTTTAATACGTGAGAATAATAGGAATAATAAACAATTAGAAAATTATCCAGCAGAGTATGTTCTCTTAGTTTTCTCGATATCCGGCGGATATAAGTCGTCAGCCATCTTGCTAGCAATATTTCGGCGCTCGGCCATTTTTGTTGCGTCGACGTCAAGTGTGGCCAGAGGCCTTTCATCGTAGCCAGTCTTCGAATTTCCTTTGTATCGAATTATCGACAGATAAAAACTGTAATTCTAACTACTTGGCTTAGTCGACAAGTTTCGTTTGTAGCTCAGGAAGAAACGAAAGGAGAGGAAAAAGGATTGAACAATTGAAATTTTTTGCTTAGTGATTGTCTAGGCGAATAATAGTTAAAGAGCTTCTGCGGCAGAGCCACGAAAAATACGCACCGAGGCGGAGTAATATGAGTAATGCAGCCAACCAGAATGGATCAGGTCTAGAGCAGCAGGTAAGAAATTAAAAATTTTTTATATTCTTGACAATTATTATTGTAATCTACCATTTTTCTCTTTGTCTTTTTTATTTGATTCTTTCATCATTTTATATCGTTTCAAGAATGATATTGTACATAATTGTGTGTAAATGTTCAAAAGTATTATTTTATAACCTATAATTCTATGAATTAAATGTTCTTGCATCTTGTCTTGCATTAAAAATTTTAGATTTGGATCATCATTAAGTTCATTTGTGACGTACAGCTTTGTAATGGCGGCAACCAATTCCGGGAACAGCAAACCTCGTGCTGTGACGCATTCTCACATTGCTTTTTTACTACGTCCTGAATTTTCGTGATTAGATGAATATATATAATATAATATATAATGTTTAAAAAAATTAGAGTATATTCAATTTAAAAATTTCATTTATTTAAAAAATAGAATATAACTCTTTCATTTCTCAAACTTGTCATAGATGCCATTTAATAAATAATTAATTATTTAATAATAAATATATTTACTTATTAGGTATTTTATTAATAAAAATGAAAAGATATATATATTTCAGTAGTAAATTTAAATATGAACAAAATTATGCAAAACAATTTTAATATTATATCATATATATTTAAAATAATCTGTAGTAGTATAGATATACATTTTATAAATTTCTTAATAATGACATTTAAGAAATTTTTTTTAAAAATATTTTCTATAATAATTTATTTTTAGATTTTGATAAACATAAAGTAATACATAAGTATTAATAACTTTTCAGTTAAAGATAATAATTATATTTTTAATATATGAAAATGTTGATCTTTTTAATATAAATTATCATTAATAAGATACAAAATACTCGAATATAATATAATAATAAAGAAAAAAATGATTAAATAGACATGATTAAATAGATTTTAATCAATAATATAAAATAAATATTAAAAATTAGAATTTGTTAATAATTTCTTATGCACTTAAAAATATTAAAAGATTGAATAAATTTTACTTATTTTTTTTTATTTGTTTCAATCTTATTCTTTATATTATAATAAATAAATTTCTATTTTAATTTAATAAAATTTTTAATTATAGTTAATTTTTTAATTTTTTTCTTTTTTTCTTGTTAAAATAATTTTTCTGATTAAAATGAGTAATATATAGCAAGAATAATTTAATTTATATTTTATATATATATATATATATATATATATAAATATATAAAATATAAATATAATTTTATTTATATTTTATGTTTTAGTTAGCTGGTCTGGACTTGCAGGGCTCCCGCCAACCAAGTGGGGGTCGCTACGTACCACCGCATTTACGAAATAAATCTGGAAGTGAGTATTGAACATATATTGCTAATAATTATTATATTGTATTATTAATATATATATTATTTTATATTTATAATTTTTATTATATTGATTTTGTTTTTTTTAAAATATATTATGTATTCATTATTTTTATTAATTTCATTTTTTGTTAAATTAAATTTCTTAAATTTCTTAATTTGTTAAATTTCTTAAATTAAGAAATTATTGTAAATATATATAAATATAAATATATTAAATGTTTTGAAGAAATATGTAAAAATTAATAATTGAAAAGAATGTTGCTACTGAAAAAATTTATGAGTCAGTAGAACCTCTTGATAATATTATTGCCGTGTAAAAGAATTTATCTTTATATAAAAAAAAAAATAATAAAACAAGTTGTATTATTAATTTTTTATAGGTAACGCGCCTTCTGGCGGAGATCATCATTTTTCTTCCAACTCAAGACCATATTCTGACAGAGATAGAGGAAGAGATCGTGATCGTGAAAGGGAAAGGGAAAGAGATCGTGATAGAGGAAGAGGTGGTTCAGGTTATAGAGATACGCGTTCTCGTGATGTCGATTTTGGAAATTTCGGAAATTTTGGTGGGCGCACTAGACGTAGTGCCAATCAAGAAAATGGAAGAGATTATAGATATTCCAATTCAGACCGTGAACGAGATCGAGATCGCACGGTTAACTCTGGAAATGATCGTTGGCAAGAACCTAGAAACGATCGTTGGCCAGACAACAGAAATGATCATAGAATGGGAGGCGGTCGATGGAAGGACGACAGAGAAGGAGGTAGGACGAATTCTGAAATCGACTGGACAATACCCACTTCCAGAGATGAGCGATTGGAGGTGGAATTATTTGGTACTGGAAATACTGGTATTAATTTTAGTAAATATGAGGATATCCCAGTTGAGGCTACTGGGGATAATATACCTCCACACATCACATCTGTAAGTTCTAAAATTACAGAATAATAAATTTTTTTTTAATAATAAATCATCGTATACATATGTCATATATTTTATAATGTTATTTTTCTTATAGTTTGACGAAGTTAAGCTGACGGAGATAATAAAGAATAGTATTAGTTTGGCTGGTTATGATAAACCCACACCAGTACAGAAGTATGCGATACCGATTATTATCGGACGCCGTGATGTTATGGCCTGTGCCCAAACAGGGTCTGGTAAAACAGCGGCCTTTTTAGTGCCAATATTAAATCAGATTTATGAAAGCGGGCCACGTCCACCACCAATTAATTCTTCTGGAAAGCGCAAACATTTTCCTCTTGGTCTAGTATTAGCACCTACAAGAGAGCTTGCCACTCAAATATATGACGAAGCACGGAAATTTGCATATAGATCACGTATGCGTCCTGCTGTTGTCTATGGTGGTTCGAATATTGTAGATCAAATGCGAGAATTAGATCGTGGATGTCATTTACTTGTTGCAACACCTGGTCGCCTTGTAGATATGTTAGGTCGTGGTAAAATCGGATTACATAATTGTCGGTTCGTATGGAATTTTTATAATTATTAGTTTTAAATATTTGATTTATAGCATAATATTCAATTTTCATTTTTAGATATTTAGTATTGGATGAAGCAGATCGTATGTTGGATATGGGTTTCGAGCCACAAATAAGACGTATAGTTCAAGAGGACACAATGCCTCCCACGGGAGAAAGACAAACACTCATGTTTTCAGCTACATTTCCAAAAGAAATTCAAATGCTGGCAAGAGATTTTCTTAGTAACTATATCTTTTTAGCTGTAGGCCGTGTTGGTTCTACATCTGAAAATATTACTCAGAAAATTGTATGGGTGGAAGAACATGATAAGCGTTCTTATTTGCTTGATCTTCTTCAAGCTAGCAATTTTTCAGATCCTTGTATGTTATAAAAATTGAAAAATTATAAAACACAGTATCATACATGTATCATATAGATATTTAACAATTACTTCTAAATTTTAGCTGCCGAATCATTGACTTTAGTGTTTGTGGAAACAAAGAAAGGTGCAGATATGTTAGAAGAATATTTACATCAAATGGGATATCCGGTCACTAGCATTCATGGTGATCGAACACAGCGTGAACGAGAAGATGCTTTACGTCGTTTCCGAGCTGGTAAAGCGCCAATACTTGTTGCTACTGCTGTTGCTGCCCGTGGACTTGATATTCCACATGTAAAACATGTGATAAATTTCGATTTACCCGGAGATGTAGAAGAATATGTTCATCGGATTGGTCGTACTGGTCGTATGGGAAATTTAGGTTCGTTTTCTTTCTTTTCTTATTTCATAATATATTATTTCGTATTTATTTTTATTTTTCTTTGACTGATGTTTAAAAATAATTTAATCTTATAACAGGTTTAGCAACATCATTTTTCAACAATAAGAATATTAACTTAGTACGTGACTTGGTATCTCTCCTAGTTGAAGCTAATCAAGAACTTCCACCTTGGTTAGACGATATGTTTAGTGAAGCAAGATATTCTGGAGGTGGATCTCGTCGAGCCGGAAGTACTAAAGGCCGATTTAGCGGTGGATTTGGTGCTAGAGATTATCGTCAGCAACCTAGCTCCGGGTCTGCTCGCAATAATGGTTCCTCCAATAGGCCTGGTAGTTATGGAGGTTAGTAAATGTTTATTTAAAATTTTAATGAAAATTTATTAGAATAATTAATGATTAAGATTATCATATGTATAATCATTTTCCTCTATAGGAAGTTACGGAAATTATGGAGGTAACTATAACAATTCATCGTATAATAATTCTGCTAACAACGTCAACAGTAATGATCCTGATTGGTGGGACAAGTAAATCATTATCACCATCTCTATTTTCACTTTTATCATTATTACTACTGTACACGTAAATTCAAATATATGTAAGAAAGACACGTACGACATACACATCGGATACAACACGCACGTATTTGCGCGTGTATACGTATACACAAAAAAGACAGTATCACGTATATACAAATCACGTTCGCTGACTGCCTGTGCACTACAATTTTCAAACTAAAAAGGAAAAAAAAATAATTGTGTTTATTCAATTCCATAAATACTTTTATTCGCGTGCGACGAAACACTATTGACAAATCCAAATATAATCTCAGCATTAAGAACTGCAAAAAAGAAAATAACCATATAACATAGAAAAAAAAAAAAAATGATCTCATTTTTAAGAGAATCAGAGTTATTAGGATTTGTCAAATACTAGACAAAAATATAGGATCCATCCAAGGTTTCGTTGCCGTGCGTGTTGAAGAACACAAATAGTATAATCATTAATGAATCAAATCGAGCAGTCGTTCATGTCTAGTTAGGGCATAACGATGTGACACGTAGTAAGTGAAGAAACTTAGTGAAATTTTTTAGAACTCCTGTCGAGATTATGGGGCTCATTATGGCTTCATTAATTAAAATTTTTGAAGGACGTGGTGGGCGTATCTTCGAGAATCGTGGCGTCTAGATTCGTGTAATCATAGAGCTTTAAATGCACAAGTGCTTTATTATTCTCGCCTGAATGGCCAGTATCTTGTGTAATTTAATTTAAACCAGTGGCGCTATTTTTTTCTTTCTTTTTATGCATATATATATGTATATATATTTATATATTTATATATAATTATATATATATATATATATATATATTTTACTAGGCGTCCACGATACGCCATACCGCCATCGCCATAGATTTCGTCACGATTCCTGTTTTAAATTTACTATAATCCAGCGACGAATGGTACTTTGTTGTTTTGCCGTCCCCAGACACAGACGACGTTGCGCCGGCAATATCATGGTTTAATCGACTAAATCGCGTAAAGTGTTCAGTAGTCGAAAGCTTTGATGTTATGAGAAGGACACAGGCTGCGTCTTAAGATACTTTTAGAAATCTCGTTTATATTTCTGTCACGTCCTGTTAATATATTAAGTAAGTTTAGAAGTCTGATGCTGTAAACTTATTGCTTCTGTAACTCTTAATTCAAAGAGTTATTTTATTTAAAAGTTCGGTCATTATATTTAGAGTAGGCTGAAAATTTTCAGCAAATACCAGGTATATTTGTACCTGAATTTTAACATACTCTAATTAAAATTTCTAAACGTAACAAAGACGTTGTCCTGTAAAATTGATACGGTGTGTTATAAAAATCTTAGATCGCAGTACTGAATGCGAGTGCTCTAGAACGAGAAAGCTTACATTTTAAAAAACGGGTAAAAATATACGGTTGCAGTTACAGAAGGGAACTTCAAAAGAAATAAAAACAAAAGGAGCAAAAATACGCTGTTAGTTGGCTCAACCTTACAAGATAAAGAAAAAAAAAAAAAAAAGAAAAATATACAAAAAGCAAGCCCTTTGAAATAAGGATACATAAAGGCGCACTCATATTTTATAACTGTATTTATCAATACGCTATATATATATATACATACTAAGTAATATTCGTAAATACATAAACATTAAAATAATTGAAAAACGACTGTGATATCGAACGATCTTGCGACATTCAATTTCCATGTGAATTGATAAATGAACAATTTAACGAAATACAAATATTAAATGTATTAATTAATCGGTATTGAATGTCAGGAAAGCATTAAGCTCAGTTATGCGAGCCAAGAATGGAAATATTAAGTCGTTAAAAGTGAATGGAACATCAAGAACAACGTGGCTGTTGTCCGATCGGGGAGGGCTGAACGCTAGCCTCTTACAGTCCTAAAAACATGTTTTTGGGGCATTGTTTCTACTTAAAATAAACGCGCATTAATAATAGATAATAACGGCGAAACGCGTCATTACTGGTTGATGATGTTGGTAGGGCTTTATAGAATGTGTCGATATCTTTTGTGCAAACGAGTCGGATTCTTACCTAATCTATGTGAGAAAAAGTACAAATTCAATTTGCGTGACAACTGACAGGATTTTTAGACATGTCATACTTATACCTGTTATATTAATAGATTTATAGTGCAATCGCGTGCGTGAATCGTATGCCGTGTGACAGTGGACCAAGGTGTGAATGCCTCTTTGACGGGGAATAATTATTTCAACTAGAACTTTCAAATAGTGTTACGAATAATATTGTTGGCTTCCGACCATGGTGTGTGTGGTTTCAAATTCTAATATGATTGATTTATCATCGAGTCTGTTTGTCAACTCGGAGGCCCTGCCAAGAACATTACAAGAAGAATTCACAACGAAAAGTGATCCATCACTTTTTCGTTATATAGTGTACAATTTTACGGCACAATTGTTTAGTTGGACCTTAGTCTATATAAGAGAGTAGATCATGCCGTAATATTACTATTATTATTACGATTAGTACCACTACCGCTATTATTCTTACTTTACTATTATTATTCATTTTTTTTTTTGACAAGGTGGTACTATATGCGCAAACTTTGCATAACGACTTTGCTGTATTGCGTTGCGTTATTTTATTGCGATAGAAAAAGAATAAGTGACATTTGGACACTATTATCTCGAATTTTTTTTAAATATATATATATATATATATATGTGTATATATATATATATACATATATATATATATNTTAAAATGTTAAGTTTTTATATATATATATATCTATAATTATATAAAATATATATATATATTATATATATATTTTTTTTCTGTTTTTTTTTTTTTTTGCGAAATTTATAATCAATGGAATACAAATGACTTTGTATTGCAAATTTCATTATTAAAGTTTTTTATAGCTATACTTCAAATCAAAGAGAAATTCTAGATTTTATTGTCCAATTGTTCACTCAGGCAACGAATACATATGACGCGTCGATGTAAGTTATTAGTCTTGTGAACTTGGAAATATGTTCATTTACGAATAATGTGGTGGACAGAGATTATGCAAGTAACAACTATATACGAAAGTATTTTCATACTTGTTTCTCTCATAGTTATAACGCTATTTTTATACATAACAGTGGTGTTGATCGTCAAGCAATCACGATATCATTAATTCCATGCGTACTTTTTTTTTTTCTTTTTTTTCATTTTCTATATTATGAACCAACAGGTGTTCGAGTATCGTAATCGAATTTAAGCGATGTGTAGCTATTGTCGTATGTTTCATATTTAAAAAAGAAATTGACAAATATATTTGTGCGATAGTCAGATGTCCACCGTTTCGTAACTGGTAAATGTATAAATTCATGTACGGTATTATGATTTAGAACGTATTAGCATTTTTAGAAGAAATAGGAAGATGATATAATAAACGAGACTATTTATTAACATGTTAAGTATTTATTTTTTATGTTACTTCTCTTAAGAAGAACAGTTATATATTTGTACTGTATAAATACCTTTAAATATTATGTTTAGTCCTCTAAAATATATCGGACGAGCAGCCTTAGGAAACTTTTATGGATCTACGCAGAATGGAATGATTAGACAAAGATCAATTAAAGTAAGAAGAATTAAAGTGTGAAAAAAACGAAAGCGAGAGAAGGGGGGAGGGGGTAAGAATAGTACTCATTACATATTATGTAAAAAAAAAAAGTGGCGTTTGACTGTGACTGCAATCATTATTAAGAAAGGAAGCACATATACGAAAGAGAGAAAGCGAGAGAAAAAGAGAGAGAGAGAGAGGGAGAGAAAGAGACAGAGAGAAAGAGAGAGAGAGAAAGAGAGAGAGAGAAACATTGTAATCCATGTTATATGTACATGTTACAATGTCAAAGATAAAGATCGGTGCATGTGGAATTGACACCGAATACAATTGTCGCGTGTAGGTCATAGTTTTCTTTTTCCCATATTTTTTATGTTACTCATGTTCGGAAAATTAAATGAACACTTGTTCGATTTGCTCTTGGTGAGAAACAGAAAAATTTGTATGCGCTTATTGTGTGTCTACCTCGAGCAGTTTTCTGTGTTTAAAATAAGAAAAAGATAAAATATTAATACTCAAAGGAAAAAGAAAAGATTAAAGAAAAAAACATTGAGTTATCGTATGCCCGTGATATGAATGTGAGAGAGAAGAAAGAGAGAAAGTAAACGAGAGAAAGAAAGAAATGAAAAGAGCACACGCGTAGGTGGAAAATATGAGCAAAATTAGGTGGGATGGCAAAAAAAAATGTCTTCTAACTTTTATGAATGTTATTTAATCGAGAAGCGTCGCTTGTCGTTGAATCGAGAACGCAGACAAGATGTGTATAAAAGGAAAAAAAGAAAGAAAAAGAAAGAACAAACTTTAAAGAAAGCACAACAATTTTGTGCTTTCTTAATATGAGTCTCAATGGCTGTGTTTCATTTTTCTACGGCGAATGACGCTCACTGTATCATTCACTTGTAACTCTAATGATACTGCTATATATCTACTTCACTGAGATGGCGAGCAAATGGCAAAAGTGTGAAGGACTTAAGGAACGGTGTATGTACCATTCTGTCGGTCTCTTAATTAATAATTGCACATTTACACGCTACATTAGGTGAACCGAGAAAAATATGAGAAGTAGGAAAAAAAATCTGCAAACAACTGTACGTCGTACGGCTATTGAATGAAGTAATAAAAATAAAGTGTCTGAAATTTAAAAGGGAAGTCACACTTAACCTATAAAGTGTGTATATATATATATATACACATATATATATACACATATATATGTATACACAAACACTTGTCGTTCATTAGCAATAAGTTACGATTGCATTGTGGAAATATGCATCTTGCGTTTAGTTAAAGCAACATGTGTGTTCTGTGAAGAATGATGTAGAGTGTCAATATTGTTACAAATACCTCATATGAGACGATGGATCACATATTATTTAAATATCATTCATTTAGTGATTCATTCGTTTATTTATAGTATTATGCAGTGACAGGAGAACTCTATAAAATGAACCGTATAATAAAGAAAAAAAAAGATTATGCAGTGTAGAATCTTTTTATATGTATATGCCTTTTTTACCCTACAATTTATATAAATATTCAAATATGTTCATCAATCTTTTACTTATATTTTTTGCAAATATATTTCTATTTCTGTAATTATTTTCTATATTTTAAAAAATTGCATAATCTTTTATACCGAACAATTTTAATTCATAGAGCTTTAATTTAAAATAATTAAAATAATTAAAATAATGTGTGTTTTTATATCCGTAGTAATGATATTAAAAAATATTACAAAAAATTTATCTTTATCGGATATATAAAGAAATGTTAATTTGTAAAAAAAAAAATCCTAAATAATTATTAAAAATTTACATGTTAACTACATATATATATATATATATATATGTATATATATGTGTATATATATATATATATATATGTAGATAATTTAGATTTGTTTCCAACATTTACAAACACATATATGTTAATATTTTTAAATTTTACGGAGTATGTATTTTTATTATTTTATATATTTAAAAAGAAGATGAGCAATATTTATTCAATAAATTTTCACACATGAATTTCTTGATTTTAACAATTCTATATTCGTAATATTTTTATAAATAAGATTACTTTGGAAAAAATTAGAATATAAATTTATATAAATTTTCAAACGAAATAATTTTTTGTTGATTGTCCTGTATTAATTATATTAATTATGATTCAAAAAACAAATAATCATTGTTATCTACAGGTATTTACTATAAATGCAATATTTAAAACATTATAACGGATTGTGGGCGCCAATGATGAAAGGTCAATCCTATTGGTGCAACTTGGACCAATCATATAAGACCACGATTGCAATGGCGGCGTGGCTGAACAGTTTTGTGATATCGGGTGGTTAGATAGAGGCTTCTAAAGCCAGCAACTTTGTTTTCTTATGTATTGAAATATTCATATTATCGTGGCTTGCTCTTTTTATTCAGTCATGTATCATTGTGGTTTATTATTGGTCTTATTGGATCTGTCTTTAGATGGTAATTAATCCTAACCTAAAGTATCTTTAAATGTCTATTTTGTAGTATAACATTTAACGAGTTTATATTCTAGTGGTTGGAAGTGTTTCTCAATTAGAAATTGACAGGCATTTGGAATTAGGTAGAGAATTTTTAGCAAAAGGACAATTACAGGATGCACTGTCACATTATCATGCAGCTGTTGGTAAGTTATATTTGTAATCATTTGTTTTATTTTTTTGATTTCTTTTGATTTATAAAAAATAAAATCTGTCATTAAAATTCAAATGTTGGTATATATTTTTTTTTTGTAGAGGGAGATCCAAATAACTATTTGACATATTATAAAAGGGGCACAGTATATCTAGCATTAGGTAAAGCTAAATTTGCACTTCTTGATCTTGATAGAGTTTTGGAATTGAAACCAGATTTTACTTCTGCAAGATTACAACGTGGTAATGTATTACTTAAACAAGCTCAGTTTGAAAAAGCAGAAGGAGATTTTCGAGATGTGGTAAGTTTTTTTTTTTATTTGTAATGTATTTTTTTTTTAGTATATTTTTTATTATTCACATATAATTATATTACAATTTTTTACTTTTTCCCAATTATAGTTAGCAATTGAACCACAAAATTCAGATGCCTATAATGCCTTATATAAAATAGCACCTGCCCAAGAAGATTTATTAGTTGTAGACAGATTAAAAACGAATGGTGATTATGCAGCAGCTGTGCAACAAATTACTAGAGTTATAGAAGTATGTCCATGGTCAGCTGAACTTAGACAACGTAGAGCTGAATTATATGAAGTACTTGAAGATTATATTAGTGCTATTTCTGATGTACGTTCTACAACTAAATTACAATCTGACAATACACAAGGATTTTTAAAATTAGCTACTTTGCATTATCGTCTTGGACAAGTTGAAGAATCATTAAAGTGAGTAAGAATAAAATATAAATATTATAAGTCACTATATTATTATTTATATAATATCATATTTAAATTTATGCAATTAAAATTATATATATATGTATATATAATATGTATATATATATAGGGAGATTCGAGAATGTTTGAAACTTGATCCAGAACATTCAAAATGTTTTTCATTTTATAAAAAAGTTAAAAAGGTAGCAAAATTATTAATATCTGCAACAGAATATGAGGATAAAAGAGATTATACTAATTGTATAGATTCAGCCTTGCCTATACTTAAACTTGAACCACAAGTAATCAATGTACGTTTCCTTGCTCATCAGCATCTCTGTAAATGTTATACTAGTAATCAGGAACCAACTCAGGCAATTAAAAATTGTCATGAAGCATTAAAAATAAGAAAAGAAGCTGCAGTATATTGTGATAGAGCAGAAGCTTATCTTGCTGCTGAAATGTTTGATGATGGTAAGTTATGTATTTATAATCATAAGTATTTTAATTTATGCAATGCTTGCATAAGATTTTCTCCCAAATTATTAAAAAAATTTTTTTCACATAAAGCTTACTATACATTGAATAAATACAAATAAATACAAATCTTGTCTAGACATTATTATTAAATTATGAAATAATTAATATATTAATATTATATATTAATATACATATAATTAATATAATAATATATATAATTATTTATAAACAAGTGAAATAAGTTTTTCATATATATTTAACAAAATTAAATATTAAATGTTGTATATATTACACTGATGAATTATAAAAATAGATTAAGTTTTTAATTAAAAAAAAAAAAAAAAATAGAAATCATTTTAAAATATTAAAACATCTAGACAAGTTTTATATCTAAGTATAAAATTCAAAATAAAGTATTTAAAATATTTTTTCAAATAATGAATTGTTTAAAAAACAAATATATATAAAGATTAAAATGGGAGAACATATCATACATAGATTTGTATTATTAATATAATTTACTAATATATTTATTATTTTAAAAAAGCTATTAGAGATTTTAAAGAGGCTTTAGAAATTGATATGAGTTTACAAAGAGCAAAGCAAGGTCTTCATAAAGCACAACAACGACAAAAACTTTCTGAATCTCGAGATTATTATAAAATTTTGGGTGTGCCAAGAACAGCATCTAAACGTGATATTATCAAAGCATATAGAAAAGCTGCACAAAAGTGGCATCCTGATAATTTTCAAGAAGGAGAAGAAAAGAAACTGGCAGAAAAAAGATTTATTGATATTGCAGCTGCCAAAGAAGTATTAACTGATGATGAAAAAAGAGCAAAATTTGACCAAGGAGAAGATCCATTAGATCCTGAATCAGGAAAACATCAACAAGGATTTAATCCCTACCAAGAGTTTCATCACTTCCATGGATCTCCCTTCCAATTTAAATTCCATTTTAATTAGTTATTTCTTTCATTTTTTATGATTCTAGCTCAAATAAAATTCGTGATTTCATAATGTCGTTATGTATGCGACACAACTTTTGCTATTTTAGATAAAATTTCATTTTGCTAATCTACCTCGTCGGTAGTTATATGTTTTGCATCTGCATGGAATCAGAAGACTGTATGTGAAAAATTATTAATTGGTCAGTAAGTCAAAAAAGTGACAATTAATTAAAACGAATTATAAAATATGATTAAATTTTTATCTGAATCATATATAAATTATCTTACTATCATTTCTCATAACTTGTTATTGAAATTTAACATATACATAATGTAAATAATGCATGCACATAATTTAATTCGTTATTCATAATTTATAATATATGAATTTTTATAATAATTTTGAATAATTGACTTACTGAATAACATATTTGATGCAGACTGAACATAAAATTAGTTTTCAGCAATGTTAATATTCTTTATCATCGATATATATATTTATATATAATAAATATAATAATATTTATATAAATATATATTCTATATATATAGATATAGATTTCGTACCATTGATATACGAAATAAAAATCGTGATTAAAGTCGCATTTTAAAAAACTCTAGAACGTATGCCGAAAATATGCTACCTAACAGCCATTGGCTGTGGATTATTAAATTTAGCTTGAAATTGTGCGATAATTAGATGAAGTAAATATAATTAAAGTCATTTTCATAACCATCGAATACAGATACTTCAAGTATATAAATAAATAATACTGTGGACTGACTGTATTCGATGATAAAATATACATAAGACAGTGCTGTGTGTATGTTGTATTTGCATGAGTATGAGAGAACATTATGTAAATATACTGTATCTCTGATATTTGTTTAAATATATTTGAATAATTTATAAATATTATAATTTATATATATGTATATAAATATATATATATATATACACACATACACATTCATATATGACACATTATATATGTTGTACACATATAATGCTCTTAGATTCATATAGTTGCTTAATTTTATTATCAAATCCAACATGAATTGTAGCTATTATTATAAAATTATAATTAATTTATGTTATAAAACATTTACAATTTATCTTTAGTAAAAAGTATTGAATTTTACTTACTTTATTTTATATTTAATAATTTATAAATTTAGTTTTGATTGGATTTTATTTAAATTATTTTATATTTGTTTTATTATAAAAATTTTAAGAAAATAATACATAGTAAAAAGTAATCAATTTTTATACCTGTTATACAACTTTTATTAAAACATTAGTTTTTTATTATTTGTTTTCAATTTATATTTTATGATATAAATGATATAATGATTTCATAAATTTTATAATTATTGATATAATTAGAATATTATCTGTGAGAAGAAATAATATAATAAATAGTAATATTTAATTATTATTAATAAAAGTCAATTAAAATAATATATATATATAATTAATACTTTTATTTTACAATGTTTTATTTTTTTACAGCATTTATTAAACTTTAAATAATTCTAATTTCTAAAAAATAATAATACAAAAATATAATTAATTAAATAAATATAATAAATTATTTTGAATAAGTTGAAATTTAATTTATAATAGATACTAATGCTATAAAAAAATTTGAAAAATAAAATATCAAAGAGTAAAATAATGCTAAATTCATGTTGGAAAAAACATCATACTAGCTTTGGATTTTGATTTGGAATTGATTTTTATTGATTAATCAGATCATTCATATACATTTGAACACATTTGCATTTAAACAAAAGTTTGTTATCAAAACAAAAGAAACATTATTCCGTTCTGATAAACAAAATATTAACAATTTCTCTTTTTTATATTAATTATAATATAATATAATTCAATGTAAATATATATATATATATATATATATTCTCTTTGCATATAACATAAATATTAAACTAAGTAATTAATATGTAGAATATTTTTTTATTTTGTTTTCAAAAATTTTTACTCTGGAATAAAAAAATAAAATCTCGGATCAATTTATATATTACGATTAAAGGAATGATTTCCTCATAGTTAGTTAACTTTTTCAGAAATTTCAAATTCACAAAAATTTTTTAGATAATTTACATAACTTTTATATAATATACTTTTCTACTGAATATTATAAGTGCTATTATAAGAAAATATTTTTTATTTTGCGAAAAAGATTGAAATTAAAATAAATGAATACTTAAAAAATAAAAAGACTCCTATTTTTCATAGCAGCAAAAATATTTTAGGTAGTAAATATAAAAGAATCACTTTATATTTGAAATTAAAATCACAGTTATTAGAAACAATCCTATTAACTTCAACTTTTATATTCTCTTATCATATATATATCGTTGTACTTTGTTACAAAATATAGAACAATTTTCATATGGCTGTTTTACAATATTTATAGTACATATATATTGCGATTTGATAATGAATATTATTTTTAACACTTACAATTAGTGTAACGAATTTTGTACCTGAATAAATTACTTGTATCTATTTACCATAAAGAAAAAAATAATCAAATAGAACAGTTTTTAATCTTGAAAGTGTAGTACATTTTTTGTTTTACGTAGATTTTTTTTTTTTACTATTTTATTTTTTTTAGCAATTTTTAGATATTTTAAACAATACCTGTAAACATAATGTATATAGATTTATTTATTTTGAATCTTTGTAATGGAATTTTTTAATAAATCAATATATATTATAATATTTTTATATAATTATAATATTTTATCTAAACAAAATTATCCATATATAAGTTATATGTAACAACATACTTCTTCGCAAAATTAACATATTAAGCAGTCTAATATTCTCTTTTTATCTACATAAAACGCAAATGCGTTTTAAATATTTATTTTTTAATATTTCTATTTCTTCTAGAATTTTCAATTGAAATATTGATTTTTGATTCATTTCTATCACATTTTAAAGCATTGGATGCTTCCAATTAAAAATTTAAATATTAGAACTGTATATTATACGAAATAACTTGTATATTCATGTGGCATTACACCTCTTCTTGGATAAAAAGTATGACTTGTTGAATATTCTAACAGATTCGTAATTGAACTCATATAAATATCGGCAAATCTGAAAAGTCTTCTTGAAAAATATGTAGGATTATGATATGTTCTGAATACAGATCCAAATTGTTTATTAAATACTCGTTTTATCTCGTTTCTTAATTCATCTCTTTCCTCGATCCATTCGTTGAGTATCGTTTGTACATCTGGCCCTTCATAATCTTGATGTTCTTCAATTAATCCTGTTAGCATTTGTAACCAATTTGCATTTTCTTTAAATTTTGGATTATTTAACGTTGCAATTTCATGCTGTAATATATAAAAATATACTGTTATCTATATACAATAGATATATATGTATATAATATATTATATATATAAATAATATCTCGAATAATCAATTTTTAAAAATAACAATTCTTATGAACAATAACAAATTTAAATAAAAATTTCATACAAATAATTATTTTGAATACATATATATATATATATATATATATATATATATATATATATAATAAATTATAAATTGCAAATTTACCGTTAATTCTTTAATTATGGCTCCAGTTCGCCAACCATGTTCCAAAGTAACATCCGCTAGATCGCTATAAGGATGATCTCCAAAATATAATACTTGATGTCCTTGCCATCCGGTCATATCTTGTAATTGTTTAACTGTGCCCTGATTTCAAAGCTGATATCAATCCTAGATATTAAAAAAGAACGTAAAACGTTTCATACATACTTCAAGATAGATAACTCCTTTTTCAATTTTAGTAACTCGATCCCACAGTTGTGTTCTATTAATTTCATCGTATATTCTAAGTGGTCGAGATTCTTCTGTAAAGAATTTTGGTTTCCTTGCTTGTACTATTACTACATCGAAATAATCTTTCCAATCATCACCAACCAAGAATTTCATTCCAGTATCACTAAAAAATAATATTAATTGTATGTAGTATTTTGTGCATTATGTTATTATTATCATTCATTATAATACTTACACAAAATGGAAAGGACTGTTAGTTACTAGAAACATTTTTTTATTAGCTCTTTTAAGTCGATCAAAAAATCTTCTCAAATCTTTATTTTGTTCCAAATATTCGGAAACATTTTTTACCACCATTCCATGCATTATAGGATGACAACTTTGTACAGAGTTCTAAATAAGAAACAATGATATCCATTTTTATCAAAAACAATTGTAATTAATTCTTTAATTTTTGTACAGATTTTTTTTTTTTTTTTACCTTTACATCTCTAAAAAGTATTTCAGGATGATAATCGATATGATTTCTAAGGAAATATTCCGTGACGTTACATAGAAGACCCATTTCTGGTACCGAAAATAAATCAGCCAATTGAACCATTTTTGTCCGGTGCAATGCTTCCTAAAAGAAATTTAATTCTCATTATACATATAAAAGTATATATATATATATATATATGTAAAAGTACAATGTAATACTTACTTTCTATATTTTATGTTGAAAAAATCCGTCATGAAAAACATACAAGTTGATGCGTGCAACAAAAACAAACAAATAGTCACTTCAATTATTGTAAGTAAGTAAGTTTTATATATATATATATATACAGATAATAAAAATTTTAAAAAGAAAGTTAAAATATATTCATGCATCTTTTCATATTATTGAACATTAGTTGGATTTTATTGTTAATTGGATTTTTTATATTATCCTTTTAAAATATTTTATATATTTATTGTTTCGGATATAATCACGAATGCAAAATAAAAAAGATTGAAAAATATCATAAATTTCTATATCGAAACAAAAATAAAAATACTAAGATAAAATTATAATTTCAGGAAGATAATAATTACAGATAATAAAAAAACACAAGAAATCGCAATAGTAAACAATATTTTTTTTCATAAAGAATGAACATCGCACTTATAATTAATTAATTATCAATTATTCATTCAAGTATGCTTACATGAGAATGTTTATGTGGTGCCTCTACATAGGCGATTGGTATTATCCGGTTTTTATAGAGTCTAAGGACCTCGTCGTCGGGCACTGGATGTAAACCGCGATAAACGGCGCCAAATTGAATTTGCAAGAAGCTGTCGAGTTTTAGTAGCAGACCCTTTTCGATGTCATAATGGAGGCCACGAACAGCGAAATCCTTCTTGTACTCGAGGCTGCTGATTCCCTCGGGGTACTGTACAGCCGATTAAACGAGTTTGCGTCAAGTTTCAATTGAAATTCTCGTTCGGCCGTAATTGTCGTTTGATTTTCGAGAAAATACTCCTGATGAACTAAATTTCGCGAGCAGAAATGAGTTAGAAAGTTTCGTTCCCTAGTTTGAATTAGTAATCTTGCCGAGTTTGAAAGTTTGTCGCACGTTTTCACGATTGATTGTATTGTATACAGAGAATGTTTTCCGTTAATTGAAAAAAATAATTAGAAAATTAATGTATATATATATATATATATGTATATATATATATATATTATATTTTGATATACCTTGTATTTTTGAATAAGCATATCACGTCCAAGATTATATAATAAATAATCCATGGATGGCTTGTAACAAGCCAAGGTATAATCATAATCAAATCCATATACTTGGACTTCTTTCAAGTCAAGCTCATTGCAAGAAAATACTCCTTTCGGATTCACGTCTTGGGGAAGTTTCTTAGCTGAAAAAAAAATTGATTAATATTTTAATTAAATGCAATAAATATACGCTAAATTTCTATTTAAACCCGGAATTGAATAAATTTTATTTAAAATAAAAATAAAAAAATAATAATTTGAAATATTTGTTTCACTTCTATCATCTTTATTTGGAAAATATCTGATATGAAAAGTAACTCTTAATTTTGTCTCAAAAATAAAATCAGTTATAATAGTAAATAAATTAAAGAGTTGTTATTGTGATATTTAATATTATATCTTTTATCATTTTTTATATCTTATATAGCATAATTTGAAATCAGAATAATAATTTTTTTCTGTTTAATGTCTCTAGATAATTAGATAAGTAATTCAAGATGAATACAAAAACAGAATATGATATATGATATAGAGATGTGCGTGATTTTACATGTGACCTTGTACGAAGCGTTTCAACTAAATAGCAAGGTAACACACGAAATTATTATTCTATTTCAATTCATGATAAGTCTGCAAATGCTCGAAACGAGATATTTCTTACCGTCCTAGATTTTTCTACCTAATTCATTTTGGATTTTTTTATCAATTAATTCTAAATATAAATTCTGATATACAAATTTTTTTCTAATAATTTTACTAAATACACGTCAATAAACTGATATTTAAGTAATGTAGTTTCTGTAATTTAATGATTCAATATTGTATCATACTTTATAATAGTTATCTTAAAGTCTATAAATCATGGTTATTAGTACTTGTAATAATGAGACCTCTTAATGGATTCAATGCATCGTATTGAAGATTTTGGAAATTTGCCAGAAGCAATTGATAATAATGTTCTTTCATGCAACAGATATGTAAATATATGCACATTTTCAAGGAAACAATCGATACAAGTATTTAATTTCATCATTAAGAATAAATCAAACACTTCCTGAAAAGGGGAATTTATTAATGTATCAATTATAATTTCCACGTGTATAAATGACTATCAAGGTCTCGCGCCATTATCATCGATTTAAAATATCAAAGTATTTATAAGTGCGCATGCTCGGACTCAAATGGCGCGGCAGAACACACACAAGAATGATTGAGATAGAATATTACCGAGACTAGTGGAACTGAGAAGGACACCAAAGTAACATGGCTGCAGCAAGTGGCAACATATACTTACACTTGTACTTTTCACGTATCTTCTGGTAATTTTCGAGCATGATCTCACGTGATATTTGACCACGATTAAGGGCACGGTCACCAATGGAACGTATGGACACAACATGGCTGCTAGACGCGCGAAGCAACCAAGACGGTAAGACATTTTCAACGAGGATAGGCGATGCTACAGCGACGGCGAGGGTCCTCGTGTGCAGCATCACGAACGATTGGCGGGTATGCACCTATGATCACGGTGCTCAACGATTGGCGCTCTGCACGGCGGGAGTTTCGAATTAGTACAAGCGTGTTCGAGGTTTCAACGTTACTGATCGACTGAGGCCGCGTGTTGTTTTTGACGTTATTACTTAATTATAATTGAGCATACCGACTTGCACGCACTCTAACAATAAAATTGCAGCCCTCTCTTTTATCTCTGTTCTTCTTATGGAATATACATCTCTTTACTCGCTATTTATATTCTCGCCTCGTGTGTACTAATAAATGTCGAATTGTACAGACTTCGCTTCGATACTGAAGCACGATAAGTGTACGCACGCCACGTATGACCGACTATCACTGTCTGTTGCGTTCGCCTCGTTACGAGGGGATGAAGGGACTGTGTATGGTTCTGGTTCAATCATGTTTCACGCAACGTCGCTGATACATACGATCAACTGTCAAGTGGGGAAAGCGGTAATACCTGAAAGACGGAAATAGATGTAAATGTAGGAATATAATACGTAATACGTTGCCAAGTATATTTTCTTAAGTTTTGAAATTTTTTTGATTTGTAGTATGTTAATCTATAATTATTAGCGAATTTTCAATTTGCATGAATAAATATTGATTATTTTAATATTATAAAAAGAAACGTGAATATATCATCGAATAAATTTTGAAGTGACGAATATAATATATATATATAATTAATATATATAATATATATAATTATTTTAATTAAAAAATCTTATATTTCAGAGAAACATATTATGTATCTTCGTTTTGTCGTCGAAACAATTATAATTACATATAATAACCTAAATCAATGATGTTAATAAAAACAGATTAATTAATATTTGAGTTTAACGAAGCAAGTTCTTTGAGTCGCATGCATTTTATCTATAAAGGATCGATTAGAATGTTAGGTAAAAATATTCTAATTATTTTTCTGATATATATGTTTTTTGATGCGTAATACGTTATCTTGTAAATCGTAGAAAAACATTGTGTGCGCACGCATCTAGTATGTGTCGCTTCGATCTCCTACCTGCTGTTATTTGAGCTTTCTGTAATCGTTATTATCTAGCAGTGTGTCAATATTATGATTAATGATCGGTCGCGTTCTTCCAACGGCCATTCTCACATTTCTACTTCCGTATGTTATATATTCGCAATTATTCCTGACACAATTTTCACGATTAATTATAGGCAATGTGCATACAAACAAGTAGTTGCGAGAACTTTTTGCCTCTGCATATTTTAACATAAATGTCGTTTCATTTTTATTAGAAATTATGTAGGCAATTTGTAGGCGTTAATAACTGAATATATATTCGTTCTGATTTTTTTACTCTTTTTATCTTTTTAATATAAATTCTTAACTTTAAGAATTTTTAAGAATCTTTTTTAATATATTTTTAAAATTAGAATTCGTAATGATTGATAATAGGATATTAATGCGTTGTTATTATAAACAAAATAATACATTTATATTAATAGATTATTTAATTATTTATAATTTTTTGCAGGAATTTTTACATCAAAATATTTAAAGAAGCTTTGAATTGCTATGTGATATTTTTTTCGTCTATACATGATAAATGAAATTATTTAATCTGATAAATCTAATATCTAATATCTAATATTTAAATCTGATTTATTTTTTAATTTATTTTAAACGGTACAAGTTTCTTACATAACATTCTAAATTATAATATTTCATAAAACATTAGAAAGTCTATTCAAATCATATTTTTCTTATTTATACTATATTATATATTACATTTATTATTACATTTACATATGATATATTTATACATTGCATTTATCTATGGATTAGCAATTATCATAAACCTATTTGAATATATATATATAAAATAATTATTCTTGTATAATTGTAACAATTATCTAAATTAGAATTATCATTGATAAAGATGAAATAAATGATGCAGAAATTTCTGAATTTCTAGATAAATGAATTATAAGATTCAAGATGTTTGCAATGCTTGATTTTTTATGATATTTATATAAGTAAGTAATAACATTAATTAAACAATGTTCCGGTAACGTGATTTTTCAGAGTAACAAAAAAAAAAGAAAAAATTGAATAATCATCATATTGACTGGAATGGCTCATACGTAACGCTACTACTGGCACGTGACCTCGTTGTCTTAATCTAGCCCAGTCGTCGGTCGTCGTACTCTTCGTAATCTTTCTGATCGGTTGTACGCAGAAGCGCCTCTAGCGAAAAAAGTCTGATCAGAAATCGTTCCAGTATTTCACGATGTAATTCGTTTCACGTTCGCGCATTCCATCTGGCGGTTGAAGAAAAAAAGAAAGAAAGAAAGAAAAAAAAAGAAGAATAACGAAAAGGATTATGCACCGACTTTCCATTCTTTATGGAATGCAATTTCATGATACGAACTTTCTATGCTCTTCTGCACCTCTCACTCGACTCCACCCATCCGGCTGATTATCATTTTCGATAAATTCTTCTCTCTTTATGGTCTATTTATATATATATCTAGGGGAACATCTCGAGTGATTGATTTCTTTCAATTTTTCCACGAATCTTTATTATTTATTTCGTTTACCTTATTTTCTTCGTTACACCATTTTTACGCTAGTTCCCAGGATCGCGTGTGCCTTTCTTACTTAAATGAGTATATAGTAACTTTAATTGTAAAACACGTTCCTCCGTGAAATTGGTCATCTTTCTACGGGAAAATTACTACCTTTCCTTAATCCAATGGAATAATAGGATTCCTGTTCTTTATTACATAAAAGTATAACGTTGCAACAAATGTATATACAATAAAATTTAAATAACAAGAGTTTTCATAGAAGTTTACGTTTACGATAAAAGTGATTGGAATGAAAATATTTCTACAAACATTCCATATTAAACACTTGAATTTACCTAGAATTATCTTCATCAACGTCTTTCAAATTTCAGTTTCCACGTTTTGAAGAAGAAATCATGAAACGAAACCTTATCTTGAACCGAAGTGTCACGCTACAAAACAGAAACATCGGAGGCGTTCCACGATGTTTACCATCGGATGAAACGGCAAACGGACACCGAATCGGCGTGGAATCGAATGAGATAAAAGGCAAGTGGAAGTCGGATGGGTGTTCCGTCCAGACGACATCGCCCCGTCTTCGACTCGTTTCTTGTCACACACGGCCCGAGTAGCGTACGCTCGCGTGTGCGCGGCACACGGATACACACGGCTGGAACAGCCGTGCAACACACACACGTACAGGAGTCGAGGAACGCAGATCGCTAGAGGCGCTGTTCCGCTGACCTACTCTACGATTATCGCTCGGCTATAGCCCGGTGCAGGTGCGTGTGCGTTAACTAGCGTTGCCAACTATACCTCCTCGAGGAAAGGAGGACGCGGTGCGGGGACGTAATCAAATAAACATTTTCGGTCCTTTTACCGATTTCTTCTCCAACTCCCGATCTCTTTTCCACCGAAAAGTAATTACACTCCCGAAGAATTATATTTTTTTTTTTCATATGCTTTTTATTTATTGCAGGATTCCTTGATTCGATAATATTAATCTTTTTCTTTGTTGAAAAAGGTTTCGTAGGTTTGAAAATTTCATTATCTCGTGAAACTTCCTCGCATAATATATTTCTGTTTCATTCTGTTAATACAACATTTTCGATCGTTATATCAACCAATTGCAGGGAGTTTATTCATTTATCAACGCAAATGGACGTGCCTCCGATGTTTTAAACAACGTCTAATTTCATCTTGTAATTGGTCAGACGCAACGAGGACGTAGTCATTGATTGAATCTAATCAATGATCGTTAGTGGTCGCGAGCAATGGTCTTATACACAGGCGGTATAAGGTATAGTCACGAATAATGTATGAGTATTCTTGATATTATTCATAGATATTAGGATATATAGATTTTCTTGGGCAATAATTTATAACTAATAATAATCGTAATTTAAATATCAATGTAATAGATATCGATATAAACCAATATATCGATCATTTAATAATTAGTTATAAATTGTGGAACGTAAATTTATCTTTTTTAAATTTTTTAAATTTTATATTATCCGATCAAACAACTCGTAATTTATTTGTTAAAAATTCATTTTAATCGACGCCAAAGTTAAATTATTTACGAAAAAATTTCATAAATAATAATATAAAATAATCAGAAATATTTATTCTGAATGTATTTTTTAAATTATAAAAAAAATTAATGCACACATATATATATGTTTCAGTATTCCTTGAGAAAAAATTTATAAAAATCTATCAGGGATCGAATCAGGAATTAATTAGAATGTTTTACTTACTATCTATCTACTCTACATAACCGAACGTTCAAAAGTATTATAAAACGTATATATATATATACCACGAGAGAAGCGAGGAGAGAAGAGATCTCTATCTTATTTACGAAAAGATTTCGTAAAACAATTAGAAATATTTATTCTGAATGTATCTTTTAAATTATAAAAAAAATAAATGCATACACATATATATGTTTCAGTATTCCTTGGGAAGATTAACCCGAAGAGAAATGATTAATCGAGCGAAATTTTATATATATATATATATGGAAGATAATGATATGGGAAAAAATTTATAAAAACCTATCAAGGATCGAATATAGAAAAATAACGAATCAGGAATTAATTAGGATATTTTACTTACTATCTATCTACTCTACATAACCGAGCGTTCAAAAGTATTATAAAACGCATATATATATATATACCACGAGAGAAACGAGGAGAGAAGAGACCTCTATCTCAACATCCGTATTCTTCTATCTGCACTCATTTTTATCATACGCCTTCACGGCTCATCATCGGATTAGCATTAATAAACGAATCTCGACCGTGCAAGTCTCCGCGAAGGTCGATGATTTCTGGCAAGTATCCGCGGCGAAAGTATGGCAGATCAATTTCGCGATCGAGCCGCCACGCGATGCGTGACCGACTCGAAAGCGAGCATGTTTTCTTCCTCGATCTTTGCGATCTTCTTTAATCTGATCTATCTTCCTCTTTTTTTTTTTTTTGCCCGTGTGCACCAATGTCTACCCCGTTTTTCTCCAATCTCGCCTCTGGACACGTACGGCTTACTCCGTTTCCATCTCCGAGAGCTGACAGAGACGGTTCTGAAAACTTTCTAGCGGGCAAAAAGTCGTCCCATTCGAATGCTCGTTGGAAATTCGGCAGTGTGTTTTTACATCGAGTTGCGGTATAACGAACAGCTCGGTGCACATGGTAGACGTAAAAGGTTTGCTTCTCTTTTTCTTTTTTTTTTTTTTTTTTTTGGAGAGAGGAAAGGGGGAATTTATTGAATTAAGGTGACCTCCTTTTCATTATGATACATCGTCGTTGTCTATTTTGCATTTTTCGTTTCAGATTTGTTGAGGAGTTTTTAAATTTATACGGACAACTTATGTACGGATAAATATCTGTGTAATAACGTTATTTCTCAAGTAAACGAAAATGTTTCCTAAGCTCAAGTAAACTCTTATTAATTACATCATAGTTCATGGTATATTTAGTTTATTATTAACATTTATAACATTAATTCCGCAATCATGTTTATAAATATGGGAAAAGAAAACTTTAAAAGATAAAACTCTTCCATATTATTTGATGACGTCTCCGCGTCATCCGAACGAAATAGAGAACGATAAAATTTAATACGTTACACAAGTTCTACATTACATACGTTGGATAATAGATATCGTTATTGTTATACATTTAGATAAAATTACACCATTAAGAAAACCTCGTATCGTTGTGCAATGTAAACGTGTTACAGAGTATATTTTCAAACGTGCCCCTATATAAACGTGTTTCGAGCATATTTTCAAACATATGTTTCATAATGCGTCACGACTTTTTTATGTCGTGTCATCGTATTTTCTCCACTACTAGAATTATCTCTCTGCAATATCTTACCGCGTGTAATAAAATAAAATATTACGATGACCAACATTGTGATGGCCAACGCATCGAATATTATTATCTAAATCGTTTTCGCAAAAAAATACGAGAGAAGAGGACAATGATTCGATAAATAATTCTAAGTAACTTCGTCGGTTTGGAAAGAGGTATTACAGTGCGCGTTATTTAATCCGCTGGCGTCCATCGCGCAGAAAATAGACCGTGTCGACGAGCGCGCTATTAATAGATCGTTTTTTTGGACAAGTGTCGTAAAGATATCGCCGGACCGTTGCCAAATTACAAGCAGCATGATTTGTCGCGAAACAAAATTTCCAGGGCACGAAGGCCGACGAAGAAACTTGGCACGCGAATTCTCACCGCGAGTATGAATGATAAAATATTAATAGAAACGTGCGCAGAGTCGAGCGGGGAACGGTAGCCGTAGTTGATGTTTTCCAGAATTGAAAAGCAACCTTGACCCACTGGGAGGAGGCCACGTGCAGTTGTGCTATCGGGAAGTCGTACTTCGCGGTATGTATCTTTTCGGAATTATCTTGTTTATCGATTTCCTTTTTTATTATTCGATTTAAGCGAGTGACAATAAGGGATCGGCATTCTTATGTTCTGCATAACGATGAACGGAATGATGTAATCCGATCCTCTTATTATGAATTCCGCTCATCGCTACGCTCCTTTTTTTTTTCTTTTTTTCTCGTCCCTCGTTTTTCGCTTTTTCGCCCGTAAAAGGATGTTTACAAATCTAAACAAGCAAAATGTTATGAATTTTATTTGATTCGCAAAAAAATTGACGGGCTCTCTCATTTTATCCTCGTTTGCATATCTAAAAAGTCGTTGAATAAATCATAGGATAATCTTGGCGCGCTAATGGAATGATGGAGAGTTTAGAGTGGAAAGGAAGGAAGAGAGGCGTGAATTCCAAGGTATCCAAGAACGGTGACCCCGCTATAATAGGGGAAAGGGAAGTGTATAGAAATACCAGGATCATCAATAAGGTCACGTAAGTTAATAAATACGTTTATCTCGATATCTTTTTGCCAGAATTAAAATTTTCTTTTTCTATTCACAGCGTTTCGATCGAGAAGCATCGAGTCACGATTTTCAGGATCGTTGGACGATCGATCGTTTGGCAAGATCACCTACCACCGCTGTTACCTAGATTTTTCGCCCGTTCTTTCCAAGAAACGATTCCCCCTGTTGGTAAACGGATCACTAAGGCGACAGCCGTCGTTTTATTTCCCATCCCGGGAGACAGGCAGTGTCAATCGAAACGGAGTCGAATCGAGTATACTCGCTCGATGGAAGCGCACCGGCAGCAGCGTGGCTCGGGAGTATGGACCTTGCGAGCGGTCAAAGTCGTGGCCTACTTCACTTCCTGCCTTCGAAACTTTCTCCTCGTGGCGTCGTTTCGTGCGTTCACGAGTGCCAAGGCCTAGCGATGGGATCAAGTTCAACGCTTGCTCCCAACGTATATAAATAATTTCTCGATCGAAGGATCACGCGAATCCATCCTTCCCAACTTCATCCGCGGTTTCTGCGTCGAAATTACATACGGAATGGAAACTCTTCGAAACTCTCTCGACGAATTTCCAGATATTGAAATATCCTTTTCTGGACGATATCGTCACATTTAGATTTTCGAAAACAGTCAAATTCGAATTATTCGCAACACGAATAAATCCCATCGTCATTGTTAAGCGTCTCCTTCGATTCGATCTATAATTTTTTTTCTTTCCTTCTATTTCTTCCTTCTTCTTCTCGATACTCGATCATCGAGTCGACACGCCTAATTATTTCATATTCACCATTTATTTTGTTTGAGGCAATCTGGATGATTATGGAAGACTTGATAAATCTGTCGGATTTTAAGAATCATTTGGATGTCCAGTTTTGTCATTCGATGAAATAATCGATTCGAGTCTTAAAGAGAAATATTCATTGGAATGAAATTTTGCTCTTATTTTAATATATTTTTTTTCGATTACAAAATTATTCCGCCATTTCAATTCAAAGTTTTTAATTAATTTTTAATTATAACCAAATTCGGTAATTTTTTTGAAACATATATGCTTTCAAGAGTGATTATTCGATTTTAATATATTTTTTTCCGATTGCAAAGGAATAAATAAATTCAATAATATAAGGAATAATAAATTCAATTATTCCGCCATTTCAATTCAAAATTTTTAATTAATTTTTAATTATAATCAAATTCGATAATTTTTTTAAGAGAGATTATTCGATTTTAATATATTTTTTCCGATTGCAAAAAAATAAATAATTCAATTATTCTGCCATTTCAATTCAAAGTTTTTAAAATTCGGTAATTTTTTTGAAACATATACGCTTTCAAGAGAAATTATTCGATTTTAATATATTTTTTTTCGGTTACAGAGAAATAAATAATTCAATTATTCCGCCATTTCAATTCAAAGTTTTTAATTAATTTTTAATTATAACCAAATTCGGTAATTTTTTCAAGAGAGATTATTCGATTTTGATATATTTTTTCCGATTGCAAAAGAATAAATAATTCAATTATTCCGCCATTTCAATTCAAAGTTTTTAATTAATTTTTAATTATAACCAAATTCGGTAATTTTTTTGAAACATATACGCTTTCAAGAGAGATTATTCGATTTTAATATATTTTTTCCAATTGCAAAAGAATAAATAATTCAATTATTCCGCCATTTCAATTCAAAGTTTTTAAATCAAATTCGGTAATTTTTTTGAAACATGTACGCTTTCAAGAGAGATTATTCGATCGTTTCGAAAGCATAGGCCAAGCTTTGATTTTGAAAGCGAATAATTTCAATTCGCACCGATTGGTATTGCGATAATCTTTGCGCAAAAGCAAAGCAAAGTCGAAGAAGAAACGAATTCTTCTGAATTCTCGTGTAGGATGCACAACTAAAAAGTATTATTCGGGACGTTCCATTGGCCGAGTATCCATCGCATCCGAGTATGGGCCACGATCCATAAACCGTGTATACGAACCGTGCACTGAACGCATTATATTTACTTGTTTTGAAAAATTCTGAGCCGCGTAAAATCAATCTCTCGTCTCTGCCCAACCATCTATCTCGCTCCATAGCTCCATATACTCAAGAAAAAAAAAGGAGAAGAATCGAAATGAAATTCGACCCAAGTTTTAAAAAATAATCCGCCAATCGGTTTCGAACGTTACGTCATTACGAAAAACCGAAGAAGAAGGGAGAAAATAATGGGGATAATAAGGGGAATATTAAAAGCCTGCAATTTTTTTTTTTTTTCTTCACCTCGAGTCTACTTTCGTTTATACGCTCCTTTTACATTTGCTCGACTTTCTCTTGCTTAATAAACGCGGTACGTGTCATTTCCAAAATTACTTTTTCCAAGAAACAAGGCCGAGGATCGATAAGTGTTTTCCACCGGCCATATTCTCTTCTCGCCTCTTTTGCTCTCAGCTATGTATATCGAAATTCATTTTCGTATCTCTCCCGCCACGATCGCCATGTTCTGATTACTCGAGGAATCAGAGCGTCCTCTATAGACGGCCGCAGTAGATTAAATTTTAGCAAGTCACCAGTACACGAAACGGGCTACCGATTCATCTAGCGATGTTTCTTGTAATTAGCCACCGGTGAATGGATCCACGGTATCCGGAATATTTTTCTTCGAAGAAGAAGAAGAAGAATAAGCACGATAGAATGCTTCGAATAATGTATATTAAAAACGGATAAAATTCATTTTCAAACGTGTAAAAAAAATTATTGTTTCGATGTGTTAACAGGTATACATTAAAATTTCAAATCCTCTTTTATATATTTATAACGGATTGTTTACGGATTAAATATATAAGCAGACGAATAATCGATAGCAAGTCACGTTTCAATAGTGGAGAAATGTATTCTGTAAATTTTTTAAGAAGCATTTAAATTTTATAACATCTCGAAAATATTTATTTTTTAATTTAAATCGATACGAATAATCGATAAGTTTTTTTTGTTTTGAATTAAACTTAAAGTTAAGTGATTAATAATATTGGAAATTCGCGCAATGTAACGATTCGTCAATGACTTTTAACACGTTCCACATCGTTCACACAGTGATAACAGTCGAACGTATGAAAAGTAGAAACTTTCTACTTTTTTTTTTTTAAACTTTTATATTAAAATTAATTTTAACGTTCACGCACGTGATACATACTCGCCACCTAACGATTTCTTTAATCCATTGATATTTATTATTTATGGATTATCTATTGTTAATAATAATAGTCTTAACTTTAGTTGCCAATTTATTTAACTCGTTTCAATGTTTGAACAATCGGTTATGCAGTATGTCTTCTTACTTAAATTTTATAATTTCCAATTTGTTTAGGCTTATATCTGGCGTAAACATATCTATCGGATAATTTATAGGTCGAGGACATCCCGTGTAGCGAATAGCCATAACATCTTTTTTTAACAAGCATTTTTTCCCCCTTAAAATCTGCCTCTGTCGTAATTTTGTCCGGTTAGCTTCTATTATTCGAAGCCAGTGTCCAGTAAAATTATTATTCCACTCTCTCGAATAATACGATGCTACAACTAATAAATAATATATATTTAATAACGTGTAAAAATCTAATCTCCACGGTGTAATCTCTTGAACGATTCCGTAAAGAAGTTAATCGCAGCCTTGGTTAATGCGCCTGCCAGGAAACGTGTGCGAGGCCTCTCGTTAATCGTGCATAAATTCACGCCGTAAAATTACACGAACATGGCCGTACTACTAGCCATAGTGTTCTCTGCCTGTAAACGGATCTAATGACCGGTGAGTCAGTGATCGTATCCTGTTTCTACGTGTCTTCCAGCACAATCGATTCCGGATGCGGCCTCGCGAAAGCGAGCCTTCGAGAAGCCGATACTATTCTCCTCCTGTGTAACACGTAACTCGAATTCCACGCGGAGAAAAGCTGCGCCACTCCGTCTATTGTGGCCAATGTTGCCAACATTGCGGCGTCTGCTTGTCGGGTGAAATCACTCTATGTTTTGCGCGCGAATTCTCCTTACGTACAAAACTGGACTAATAACCGATTATGAGGATCTTAACGATGATCGTGGTCGTAAAAATCGAGAGAGACAGACGGTGTCTGACGATGTCTTACGACCGTGCGAAAGGGAGCACGATGTAACAATAACCATTCTTTCTTTCTAAAAAGTTTGTGTGTATATATATATATATATATATATATATCTCTTTTTGTACACATCTCTTTGCTTCGACTTTAATTCTACGTGTTACGGCCAATGCGGTAATTCGAGTTCCTTTTTTTCTTTTTTTGTTTTTAATGTTTACATTATTTATTATTCGCTTCGGCTCGTTATAATAATGTCGCACGTAATTTTTTTCGAAATCGATTTTTAATAACGACGTCGTCAAGAATTATATTTATCGATCGGACGAAAAATTGTTAATTATTAAACGAGGAGAAAATATATGCACGGTCGTCATTAACGATATAATTAATAGGATATAAACACAGGTATTATAAGAGCTTAAAATTGAAATACGCGTAAAGCCGGATGAAAGCATTTAACACCGAGTATCTCATACGCTTTCTCTTCTTCATTTGTTACTTCTTAATATTAATTCTTCCGACAACAACGCGCGCGGTACAGTAGGTAGTACCTACTGTTTTGCCTACAAACACCAAACGCCAGCGAAACTATAATTAACATTCTTCCAAGCCCATTTTTTAACCATTACTTTCTCGACAATCTTTCTTAAATACCGTGTAACTATTATTTGTACTAATAATAGAAGAACATAAAGTAAAGAGTAATAAATTTCACTTGCTTTCTATCGTAAATTTATATTTCAATAACTAAAACACATTTTAGTCCGGATGACTTTCTTGCCATTATTTTATTCATTCCGATCGATCGAAATATTATATATACATTATATTCAATGTAATTTTCGATAACGGATAAATTTTGGATCATCAAGATTAGAAATAGGATAGAAAGAAAATTCCTCGTGGAAAACAGTTAAGTCTTCACCCATACCGGAGAAATGTTTCGAACGGGCGTGAATAATTACCAACAGTATGTCCGGTCTACCTCCTTAAGAGCGTCCAGTGAATAAATAATTAAACTTTAACGCAAAACTCGGCGACCGTGGCATTCTTATATCCGTTATTTAAAAGCGGATGTTGGGGAAGAAACCGGATAACGCGTGCTCCTAAACAATCGACGATCATTGTATTATCGAGATTGTTATAATTGCGTAATTCAATTGCGCTTGAGTATCTATTCTATTCTCGAAACAATAAAGAAAAATTAAACGTTAAGAAATTAAGAATTCGCGTTCTCGATATACTTGCTTTTCACAGATATATCGAAAAAATTTTGCACGCCACTTCCTCTCCATTTATACTTTTCCAATGTAAAATCGAAATTTCTTACGGAAGAATATAATCGAAAGAGACGTGGCACGTTGAAAAATGTATAAAATATTGTATACGATGTATAAAAATTGAAAAAAATATAAATGCGATGCGTATACGATGTATAAAATAATAAAAAGATATTAGATAAAAGATAATAAAATATTTACACGTAGTAATAAAAAAATTTAAAAGTGTATATAAAGGTACGATATATGAGAGAATTAAGTATATTTTGTTCATAATTGCGCAAAGAAATTGAAATCGATAAAAATTTGGGATATCAACGCCATCTCGCGTTTGGATCACCGAAGCTTCGATTTGTTATTAGCGTAGCAGAATGTGCAAGGAGGTATGCAAAGTCGTAGACAGAGAAATCAATATTGTGCGAGAAGGATAGAAAACATTTTCCGCCATTTTATATGGAAAATTCGTTAATTATTAATTTTTTACGCAAAATTTCGATACTTTTAAGCTTCAAGCATGTTTCTCGTATCAATTTTAACTTGAAATTCTATTCAATTAATTATTTATTAACAATTATTAACAATTAACGTTATCATATACGTTTTAATACATCGAAGACGCCATATCGAACATTCG